GCACAGAGATCAGGGGACTTATATAAGGTTTCAGAGGAAGTCTGTGGCAGTAATGGGAGTCTGAACTTGCTGAGTTCTAGGTCAGAGTCTTAAACAGAAGATCATCCCAGCTACTTTAGCTATGCAACACAATTTCATCACAGTTGTTCTTTGTGTAGAGCTTTAACGTATGGGTAATATCTGCATATGTCTGGAGCAACAGTAAAGACATAAGATGGAAGTGATGAGAGTGTTTAATATATACTGTGTGTGCATATTGCATTTGCTTAAGCCAGAAGCTGCTTTCATTTTAAATCCGCTTTTAACAATTTAAAGTCACCAAAAACTAATTGGGTCAGATAAAAGTTCACAGCTAAACAGTCTTTCCTCCCTATGTGGACAGTTTTTGCAGCCTCATTTGTTAATGTAGAGCCCTGCTTGTTTAAAAGAATGTACTGTAATAATCTCAGAGTTTGAACTGAGTTCATTTGCAAATTCAGTACAATCAATTTAGAATTGAATAAGGATATTAACTACTTCTTAACCGGTTACATTGAATAAGATTTAACCACTACAAAGGCAAGTTCCCCTCTCTTTGATATTCACAACTCCGTCAACTTCCACCCTGACTTGATTGCCTCATTAACACCAGTAACTTTTTTCTTTTGTTGTTTTTATATATACCTCTGCTTCTGTCCATGTCGGATACTTACTGCCCACTCTACTAGCCTCATTTAGCACAGACGCTTTAATTAACAGGGGTTTTTTCCTCCTCCCTTTCTCCCCTCTTTCTCTGCTTTCTATTTTTCCCTCTGTGCCTCTTGCTCCATATTTGTCATCTGAAGAAGTGGGTTGTGCCCTCAAAATCTCATGATACTATCGATAATTTTCGTTAGTCTCTAAGAAGCTATAGGACCACTCATTTTTTTTACACTTTTTTTTTAATGCTAACAAGGTTTCTCAACAAAAGTGCTGTCAACTGGCAGGAGTCTCCATAACCAGAAATACGTCAAACCATTTTTTCAGGTACCTGCTGTCAACAGCTCATGACCACATATATAGCTCCCTTGTCAACAGAAAGAGCAAAGCATTGTGGGCATGCATTGCACGTTGCTATGTCACCTTCATATGTTAACAGAAAGAGCAAAGCATTGTGGGCATGCATCGCACATTGCTATGTCACCTTCATGTGTTCAGCCCTATGGGAACACACAAAGAACTACTAAGCATGATGGGACCATGAAAAACATCCAGTCAGCTGTCTGTTTTCTTCCCAGATGTCCCTGGGCGTTTCTGGATTACACACCAACTCAAGAAATCACAGTAATAAAACACGGACCTCAGACTTCTGGCCTTTATCATGAGCACTGTGCAGAAAACATCACGCATTGCAGCATTCCTAATTATGGACCTCACAGCTGTGCCAACATCCAGTTGTCATTGTTGGTTTCACAGGGAGTGGAGTGCAAGTGGAGTGCTGGACTGCAATGAGTGTGTTAAGGAAGACGAGTTGCTGGTTGCAGAATTGCACCTTTGTAGCTATGCAAGACAGTATGGGGGGGAGACAGAGGTGCGGCTGCTAAGAGTTATGGCTGGGGGGGCCTTATGTTATGGTCTCTAGTATTGTTTAGGAGTATTATGCTTCTCAGTATGTCCTTTTGGTCCTGCATGATCTGGAGCATGCGTTCAGTGGTCTCCTGACTGTTCATTGACTCTATCTTTTTTTTCTTCCCTCGATTGTGCTCTCTTTCCCGGTCCCTTAGCTCTCTAACAACAGCTCATCTTTGTTCTCTTTTCTCTTACTGAACAGAGGAGTGACCTAACAAATCTTTCAGCATATCATCACATGTCCTTGGCTTCTTTGTTCTCAGTTGCCAACCTCTATCTGATGATGCTGTGCAAGATGGCCGACTCCTCGGGGTGTGGTCTACAGAAAGTAACCATTACCAATATAGTTATTGTACTGTTCATGATAAAATTGTTACAGTCTTGTCTGTAATATGCATGCCCCTGGGAAAAAATCCCACTTCCTGGGATCCTGCTGGAGTCAAGCAGGCCTCTGTTTTGCAGATACTTCTATATGATGGTAAGGGGTTTGTGTGTTTTTAATTTGAAGGGTGAAGTGGTGGGGGGAAGAAGTTTTAATTTTAACACCCCCAAAAGTACAGACCACAGTTGTGCAGCACTTGTAAAAGGAAACCATTTTTAATTATCCTACACTTGTCCACAGGTGGCAATCACTCTTGCCGCCATACCTCTGCTGAAGTTAACAAGCAAACCTGGGCTGGCAGCACACAGTGAGGCTGGTTTGAGGAAGTGTTGTACCAGACGGGTGGGGCAAAGCCATGGAACTCCATGAAAAATAAATAAGTACATCAGGCGAATCCTTGACACATCCTTGACACCGTTTCCCAGGAAGATTCTATTGCTATCTTTGCCTGCATCAGTGCTGTGTTTAGCCATAGTGAAGTGGTCTTCCTGTATTATCTCTCTGCTCCCCCCCCCCGCCAACCACTGCACAGACCACCCCACATGGCCAGCAACAGTCACTGCCCGCTCAGGCCCCGACCCAGTCCGCTTGCTCAGCAACTGCTCACCAGTGAACCACCTCCATCCTGCCCCACATGGCCATAGCACCAGCCTGCTCCGTCTCCAACCCCGCCCGCCTGCACAGCAACTGCACGCTGGGGAACCACCTCCATCCTGTCTTGCATGGCCTCAGCACCAGCCTGCTCCGCCAACAACCCCACCTGCCTGTGCAGCTACATACCCTGCATCTGTTCCATTGCTTCAACATGAGGCGTCTCTTTGTGATGAGTTGCTGAGCATCCTCACAAACATCGTTTGAGAACAGTTCCTCGCTGCTTGGCACACAGGCTGCCACTAGATTGACCCTCTCCTCCTGGCCCTCTTCAGTCTCTTCATCAACTTGTGTCTCTGTATCTGAGACAAGTATTTCTGGCTCTTTTCTGAGAACTATCCACAGTGTCCTTAGGTTTGGTCATTGGATCCCCACCCAGAATTTCATCCAGTTCTTTATAAAATCTGCATGTTAAGGGTGCACCACAAGACTGTCTGTTTGCCTCCTTTGCCTTGTGGTAGGCTTGGCTCTGCATTGTAGGGTGTCTCACTCATACCCTTTGGCACACCGGGCTTGAGAAATTCAAGTGTACATGTCCTCGTTCTTATGGGTCACCTGCCGCTCTAGTTGTAGCAAATCAATACCCCACACATGGATTAGATCCAAAAGCTCTGCATTGCTCCAAGCAGGTGAGAATTTGGGTCTAGAGATGCCACCCATTTCCTGAAGATGCCATGAGGACCACCCACACAGTATGCCTGGGACACAGGAAATAGATTTAAAGTTTGTTGGGTTTGCAGGAGGGAGAGGAGCATTTTACCTATAAACATTATGTGAGTGAACAGCGGCTGAATTCAAGTTGATGTCAGAGTGGCTAAATAGGGCACTGTGGGATACCTGCTTGAGTTCAATAAACTTGACACACAATCTGCCCGATCCCCACCTCATGATTGTCGACACCATTGTGATAAAAGTCTCTTGCAGAGGTGGAAGTTTTCTGTCACAACAAAATGCCAATTCAAGTGTTGTTTGTCACACTATAATGTGGACACTCGGTGGCTTTTGTCATTTACAGGCAGTTTTTCTTGGCAAAGTGCAAGTGTAGACACAGCTTCTGTAACTTCCACTTCAGTTCATTCTATGAAGTGGGTTTTACCCATGATAAATTATGCCCTAAGCTGTCTTAGTCTCTAAGGTGCCACTGGTCTTCTCATTATTTTTGTATCAAAATAACCATTATCAGACTGCTTAATTGAACCAAATTATTTGGAATCATGGGCATTGTGATATGTGAATCCTCTGAACTTTAGGGAAACATTGGGTTAAGCCAGCAAATTCTCCATAGTGAGACACACATGTGGTCAAATGCACATTGTAAATCAATTACTTTTGCTGAAATGGGAGGTGAGCAGGTTTCAGGGAAGGGTGAAGGTGAAGCCTCCATTCTTCAAGGCTGGGGATTAAACGTTGTATTTAAGTTAACTGATCCTTAAATGTAGCAGTGTTACATTTAGAAAGAGGCTTGAGATGCAAGAAATGCACAAATATATTAATGTGTTGTTGGTTAGGCCTTTGTGACTAGTATGCTGCTATGGCATAACATCTTCTACTTAATAGGTTAAACTTCCTACAAATCTGTAAGATTGAACCCCAGGGATTGTCTCTGCAAGTCCCTGGCAGATAGCTTAGCAGCATTCTAACTAGCATAGAGTTTCTCTGCTCAACATCTGTGTGACTACAATACGTTCAGCTTTTGGATAACCCCAAGTTTTATGTTTCAGTATGAGATATTGTAATAGTACAAAATGGTCTTTTGATCTTCACACTCCCTATTGTTTAAATCCCCTTTATTTTAAGTTACCTTAAATTGAAAATAAAGAACTATTTAAAAACCATTCCCCAGAAAAAAAACACACAAGTATTTCATTGCCAAAACACATGATAAATCAGAGCCATTGGAGTCTCGTGTATTCTGGTCATTTGCCTCACAGTGCCTTGTGCTGCAGCCAAGTCGCTCGTCTTCCCCTTGAATTATATTGTAATCAGTGCTTAAATCCTGATAGCAGGTATTATAGACCATGACTACTTTTGTTTTGTTTGCATTTTGTTTAGCATTGTTTTTTTGTTTTTTTAATTTTAGGGTCTGTTTAACAAAGAGGATAATTTGAGGTGTTTTGAAAGTGTATGTTGTGTGGCTGGTTTTCATAAGCTGTGAACGTGTTGATGTAACTTAAAAGATACATTTAAAAAATGACCCCCCACCCCACAAGAGAGACAATGGATCTGATGAAGTGGGTCTTTGCCCATGAAAGCATATGCTCTAATACATCTGTTAGTCTATAAGATGCCACAGGACTCCTTATCACTTTTGCAGATCCAGACTAAAACGGCTACCTCTCTGATAAATGGCATCACTGTAATTATTTTCTTTATTCCACAGAAATTCAATGACTTCCTTAAGATCTGGGAAAGGAAACAGTGAAAATCGTAAGAGTGTGTTTTATACTAACGAAGAGTGGGAGATGTTAGATCCAACCCCAAAGGACATAGAGGAGTCAATGATACTGGAAGAAAGGCGGAAGCATGCATCAGAAGGAAACAAAGGTACCGGAAGAGACCATACCATTAGCTGTATCTTCAGAAAATATAACAAGAATTCAGTCATTTTTTGCAAGCCAAATCTTTGTGCCTACATATGTTTTATACTAACGAAGAGTGGGAGATGTTAGATCCAACCCCAAAGGACATAGAGGAGTCAATGATACTGGAAGAAAGGCGGAAGCATGCATCAGAAGGAAACAAAGGTACCGGAAGAGACCATACCATTAGCTGTATCTTCAGAAAATATAACAAGAATTCAGTCATTTTTTGCAAGCCAAATCTTTGTGCCTACATA